TCCATAATTATTTTCCTTTTGCTCTTGTCTTTAGAGGTACTAACAAAATGGGCACTTTCTGTCCTCTCTTGGTTCATCCTTTCCTCTTCTTGCACACAAAATGAAATGAGCTCATTAAGAGACCATTTCTCCTTTTGACAGTTATAAGAAATCTTAAACTGACTGAATTGTGCAGGAAGAGAAATTAAAACCAGATGGATGAGCAAGTCTTCCGACATCTCAAGCTTAAGAGCCTTCAGCTTTGAGACAATGTTGGACATTCCCATAATATGTTCCCTTATATTTCTCTTGCCTTGATACCTCATGGAAATCAAGTTCTGTAACAGAGTACTTGTTTCGGCCTTATCGCTTTTTGCAAAGCGTTTTTCTATCTCAGCAAGGAAAATTTTGGCACTTGTCGTCTTATCAGAGACAGTACCCCTAAAGACTTCTGGAATACCGCGCTTAATGATCATGAGACACATGCGATTGGAGCGCTCCCTCTTCTCATAATCCTTCCTCTCTTTAGAGGTGCTGGATTCCAAAGGAGGAGGTGGTTGCTCTACCCTTAATGCATAGTCCAGATCCATGCAGCCAAGAACAATTTCCATGTTCTCTTTTCAGTCCTCAAAATTTGTTCCATTGAGGACCGGAACCGAATTCAGATTTGCAGATATAGAAGCAATAGTTGGTGCTGAATAGAACAAAAGACAATATATTAAAACATGCTCACAACTCAAAATCATCAATATGCTATAAACAATGATATATCCCAATCAAGATACCTAGCGCACCATTAATATCAAGTCTTTGGACAGTAATATTAACTGCGAGTGGTACTCTTGTTGCAATGATCAACATTGATAATAAGACATGTCAACGGACGAACCCCTTTTTGGATTGATTCATCAGTCACATGTATAAAACTGAATAATTATCACATGTTTATCATCGCCAGTGTGCATGATCTTCGGCCAAACATTAACTTTCCTTAGGGCCAGCTAATATCCGCATGAATAACCACACACACCAACATCTAATATTCCTTATGAGTTATATCCATGAAAGAGGTCACTTGGGCAACATTCCACTTCAATTGGCTCACTTGAAATAACAGACTACTCAGCGGGTAACCATATCATAACCATGTTTAATGCATAAAGATACCAAAGCCCCAAAATTTACTTGAAAAAGATCCCAAAAGTGTCCCTGAATCTCGCTTGAGCGAGGGGGTCTCGCCTGAGCGAGAACCCTTTGTCTACCCGAGGGTTTTGACGAAGATGGAAGTTCTCCATCGGGTTTTTCGCAAAATTCACCCCAAAACAGCCAAAAAATACATTATAATTGCTATTGTTTCAAAATAATGTTATAGCAATCATCAATTTTGCAAAACAAAACCCAATTTGGGGAAAACATGAACAACATCATACAAAACCCAAATTTCATATATGAACCAAATTGGGGTGGCTCTGATACCATTTTGTTGGATATTTCCGATTAATCCTAATCGTATCCCCGAAACCGAATAATTAGGACATTGTTCCGAAACCAAATGTTTATGCCCATACATAATCCCTAATGGAACAATCCTAATCCAGACCGAAGAAAACCCCAATTGGTTTCATAGTGAAGAAGAAAACGCATACCTTGGTTAGCCATTCCGAATGCTCCGAGGTATGTGGGTTGTAGGATGTTCCGGTTGCTAGAGCTTGATGGTTTTCCGTTCGCTCCGCTAGAGGGGAATTCAGAGAGAACGAGAGTGCTTCTGATGTTCTTTTGCAAAAGTGAGAATGAGAGTGTTTGGTACCTTAGTCTTTCTCTTTTTCTTTATATATGTTGGTTTTGTGACTTAAGTCACATATCCTCATAAATCAATCCTTATAACATCAGTTACTCAATAAACTCGTTGCTCTGCAACTGGGGACCATAACCCATAAAGGTAACATTAACGGTTACCACTTAAGTTGTAATATTCTAATTCAGTCCCTTCATCAAAATAGAAATTGTCCGAATGTATCTACACTCATAATATTTCATGACACATATGCCCTTAGCCACCAAATTAATCCATAAAACAATTTTATATATATTGGCCAAATAAATTATGGCTATAACACAATTATATAATTATATTTGTGAGCCATAAATTGTCAGAAATTCCAACAGATTCATGTTGTATGTATTGAAAAAACATTGTTCAGAGTTGGGAAGGGGTATCCTTTGAATACATTTCCATTAAAAAATTAAAAAAATTGTATTACACGCAGTCACTAGCATCTAACATATTGTAACTAGGCTTTACTTTATGTTAACGCAAGATTCCCGCAATCTTTGTACGCGTTTTTATCATCATTACAAAGCCACCAAAGGGTGCTTAAACATCTTAGTTAAATAAGTGTAAGTGGGAACTGTAGTACAACATCCTTAGTTTCTCCAATACTCAACAAAAATGTGTTCCCAAGAATCCCATATCCACTTTGTCTTGTTTCCTTTGATGGCCCAAGGTCACATGATTCCCATGATGGACATTGCAAGAATAATGGCACAACATGGTCTTATTGTGACCATAGTTACCACACCCAATAATGCAGCACGTTTCACACAAACTTTTACTCGTTCCATAGAATCTGGTTCTCAAATCAGATTAGTAGAAATCCAATTCAATTTTGAAGATGGATGTGAGAATCTTGATATGCTATCTTCATTAGGCACTGCCTTGAGTTTCTTCAATGCAGCAAATACTCTCCAGGTATAATTTTTTTTTGTAATAGTAATTATTTTTGTGTGAAAATATCCCACAATGTTCCCAACAAGCATATACATAGTTACATGTGTTATTGGAATTTTTTTAGCGGTGTAGATTTAAAATTATTTTTAATTAAAGTTTTTTTTATTCTTCAAACCATTCTGGGCCTCACATTCCAGTACTAGACTGTTCAGTACTGGAGAGGATCCCAACCCGATTTGAATATGGATCATCTCCTATACTGGAGGGTCCAGTACAGGCTGAGATAGTGATATGTGGCATTGAAATTTTGTTAATAGCTTAGATTTTTTTATTTTTCTAAAATGTATTATTTCATTATTATTTCCACCAGGAGCAGGTAGAAAACATCTTTGAAGAGTTAACACCTTCACCATGCTGCATTATATCTGACATGTGTTTGCCATATACAGCAAAAATTGCTACCAAGTTCAACATTCCTAGGATTTCTTTCCTTGGACAAAGTTGCTTTACTCTTTTGTGTCTTTACAACTTGGGAGTCTATAATAAAGTGGTTCAGAACATAGCCACAGAAAATGAGTACTTTGTTTTGCCAGGTATACCAGACAAGATTGAGATGACAAAAGCTCAGTTACCAGGACCACCAGCAATGAATGAAAATTGGAGAGAGTTTTATGCCAAAACTGGTGCAGCTGAAATGTCCTCTTATGGTGTGGTAATGAATTCTTTTGAAGAGTTGGAGACAACATATGCAAGGGATTACAAGAAGGTTAAAAAGGATAAGGTTTGGTGCATTGGTCCTGTTTCACTTAGCAACAAGGATCAATTGGATAGAGTTGAGAGAGGGAACAAGTCTTCAATTGATGAACACTATTGCATCAAATGGCTTGATTTGCATGAACCAAGAGGTGTAATCTATGTATGCCTTGGAAGCATGTGCAATCAAACAACATTGCAACTCATAGAGCTTGGTTTGGCCTTAGAAGCATTAAGTAGACCCTTTATTTGGGTCATAAGGGAAGAGAGTTATTCAGAAGCATTGGAGAAGTGGATTAAGGAAGATGGATTTGAGGAAAGGACTAAAGAAAGAAGCGTCGTGATTCGCGGCTGGGCGCCGCAGCTTCTAATACTATCACACCCTGCAATTGGAGGTTTCTTAACACATTGTGGTTGGAACTCAACCTTAGAAGCAATATGTGCTGGTGTGCCAATGATAACATGGCCAATGTTTGGTGACCAGTTTTGCAATGAGAAACTAATTGTGCAAATATTAAGAGTTGGAATAAGTGTTGGGGTGGAAACTCCTCTCAAATGGGGAGAGGAAGATAAAATTGGTGTATTGGTGAATAAAGAAGATGTTGAGAGAGCAATTAACAAGTTAATGAATGAGACCAGTGAGAGTGAAGAAATAAGAGAAAGAGTTAAAGAACTTGCTGAAATGGCTAAGAGAACTGTTGAAGAAGGAGGTTCTTCTCACTCTAATGTGACACTACTTATCCAAGATATTATGCAACAAACCAAGAAAGAAGAATGATCTTTTTTCCGTTGGTTAGAACAGATTGGTATTCTCTATGTTCCTTCCATATGTTTCACCCCATCAATGAATCAAATTCATTAGGGCATAATGAAACATAAAATTATTCAATGCACTTGGTGCTTACTACAGAGTGCACTGGGTCAATATAAACTAAAGGTTTCATCATGTAGTTTCCTCAAAGTATCTACTTTGTTCACTGCTACACTATCACACTGCTAGTACACAAAAAATGCATCTAAGTTGAATTAAATTTGAGTTTAATTTAAAACAGCAATATAAGAGCCCCAACTACTCTGCATTTAACAAAGTGAGGTCGAGAGAAAACCTATTAACTTACCATGTAATGGGGAAATTTTACACGTTCTTAGAGAATGAGGAAATTGGAGTGGGAAAGATATTTTGAGAATTCTTCATTAGATTGAATGAATGCCAAAAATAACTACCACCTACTATTTATAGGGGTTAGTTAAATAACATCTTGCTATAGATGGAAAGTTTAGCAAGATAGCTTAAACATCAACAGTAATAAACTAGAATAAGCTTAAACGAATAATCAAACACTCAACACTAATCAATCTTCATATCAAGCTAATAATTCAACACACGTCTAATTTGACCTTTTAATATAATTTTTTCAAAATGCAAATTTTACTGGAATCGTGCATGTAATCTACAATTTTAATATAAATATTTTTTATCTAATTACTAATAACCGAATAATCTAATTACTAATAATCGAATACAAATAAATATAAATCATGGTAAACACTACAAACCAAGCACATCCCTTAAGTCACATATTGTAGGATTATAAACCATATCTCATTCGATCACAACATCCCATATCTTAAACTCTCAAACCCACATACGCCATTCTATACCAACATAACTCATGACAATACTGTTGGCTGAGCTACATCACGCAAAATAGGCACCATCTATAGACTATAGAGACCGCGTCAGGAGGCATATTATGTCGAGTCTGTGGGATTGTCTCACTCCATTTACAGGCCATCAAACCCCAAAGTTAGATATGCCACCAACCATGCATCGCCATCAGAGCACAACAATTGTGGGGCCAAACACCCTTTCGAGACTGGGATAATGTTTTTCACCCTGCCAACTCAGCTCGACCGCCTCACACATATAGAATAGTATGATGGAACCAATAATGTTATTTCATGGAGCTTCAGATCCATCATGTTTTGTGCTTTTCCATTGACTCTAAAATGCACTATTTATTGGATAAACATTAATAAATCTCATTTATTAAATTGTACATATAAATGAATATGATCATTTTGACTCAATAAAGAATTTATAAGGATTAAAATTACCTTAAATTGTCAATAGGAAATTCTGAACAAATGGAATAGTTTCCTTTGACCTCATACTATCATGGTAGTTAAAGAAGGGGGGAATAGAGGTTTACATATAGGAATCTGGGCTGTTGAGGGAAATGGAGAGGTCGTGTATGGGTTAAAATGGAGATGTCGTGTATCTTATTGCTCCGTATGTTCTTGAAGTTTGTTAACAAAATCTACAATAATATTTAATGAATAAAAGAGTAAATTACACTCACACCCTGAATTTTAGTGAAATTATACAAACCACCCCACTTTTTTGTCCTTACATGAACTATCCCTAATTTTGTACCTACGTTACACTAACTACCCCTGCATAATATAAAAGTGTAATATTTTAAACAAAAAACGTATGATGTGTGTAATTAATTAAACAAAATATTGTATATTATGTAGAAAAATTCAAATAATATAAGAGTCAATGCGTCTTCATTATTTGGCTCGTTATAAAATAATATAAGAGTTGTTTAAACATTCATTTGAAATTATTAATGTATTTTTTAATGACACAAAAAAAATAAAGAAACATTCGCTTTTGTACTATTTGAAGTGTTACACAATATACAATATTTTGTTTAACTTAATTACATTCATCACACATTTTTTCTTTAAAATATTACACTTTTATAACATGCAGGGGTAGTCTGTGTAATGTATGTATAAATCTAGGGGTGGTTTGTGTAGGAAGGAGGGGTGGTTTGTGTAATTTCATTAAAACTCAGGGGGTGTGAGTGTAATTTACTCTTAATAAAACCACCAATGATAAGTTGTAATAATGATCAAGAGGAAAAATAAAGGAGAAAACTACAAGTTACTGAAATTCATCATATTCATTCATCATGCCATTAACAGCCGGATAATTAGGTTAATAGTAGTCCTAAGATGGGCCTAAAAGACTGACCCAATTGATTTAAACATTTAATCAAATAATTTTTTTACTTCTCCTTATAATCAGATAGCCAAAAGGGCTTTTGTGTAACTCGTTTGGGCATCTTAGGCTGGTGTTCCAGAATGTGAGTTATTGACAAATAAAACTCATAAAAATTAATGGTGTAGTTATCCATATTATTATTGTGGATTTTTTTTTCTAACAACTGAGAATTGACATTGTATTGGGACGATGTTCTTTTCTCTTTTCTCATATGGCCTGATGAGAGAAAATAAATGGAGATGTATTCGAACTATAAAAGTAGAACTTTTTCAATTGTGTTATTTGAACCTTAGACTTATCATAGGGTCTTGAATAAGGTTATGAATAATTGTTTCGTTATTGCTGTGGAAACTTTGAAAATTTGACTTTTAGAATAATTTGAACCTTAGACTGTGATCGCTATACGGTCTCAACGACTCCAAAAACCTTAATATATCGACGTCTATAGTAATTGTGGACCCAAATTTAAAACCTTATTCCCAATAATTAGAATTGCAAAGTTACGATAACCATATTATTTGAAAAAGAAAATAAACGAAACCACAAGAAAGGAATCACTACAACATTATTAAAGAAAAAACAAAAACAATGATTCCAAAATCAAACTTATTAAGACAAATTCCCTTGTTGGTGCATGCATTTGGTGTTTGGTCTCCAATGTGACTTAGCTTTGGTTTAACCCTTTGATATGCATTATGTCTTCAATTAGCATAGACATGTTGTGGTAAGATGAACCACCTTCTTCTATTGTTTTCTTTGCCAAGTCCACATACTTTCTAGCCCTTTCTCTCCTCTTTTCTTTTTCTTCACCTTCACCCATCACTTTCTCTATAGCCTTTATAACATTATCTCTATTCACTAGAACACCATCACCAAACTTGTCTTCATCTCCAAAGTGTATAGAATTTTCAACTCCAACACTAACACCAGTGTCAATCACTTGCACAACAACTTTTTCATTGTAAAATTGATCAGCAAACATAGGAAATGTGATCAATGGCACCCCAGCACAAATTGCTTCAAGTGTAGAATTCCAACCACAATGTGTCAAGAATGCTCCTATTGCTTTATGTGATAATATCAACACTTGTGGTGCCCAACCTCTAATCAAAATCCCTCTCCCTTTCACCCTCTCTTCAAATCCATCTTCTTTCAGCCACTTTTCCAATTCATCTCTTCTATATGCTCCTCTTATCACCCAAATGAATGGCCTTTTCGACGCTTCCAATCCGAGCCCGATTTCTTTCAATTGTTCCGGTGATACGCGATTAAGGCTACCAAGACAAACATAAAGTACAGAACATGGTGGCCATGAATCAAGAAAATTCACATATTGGCTTTCATCAATATGTGTGTTTTTGTTACCTCTCTGAGCTTTGTCCAAGTCATCCTTGTTGGTTAGTGAAACAGGACCAACACACCAAACCTTGTGTCCTGTGACCCTTTGATACTCTTTGACATATTCTCCTTCCAATTCTTCAAAAGTGTTCAATAATATCCCATATGATGTTGCTTCAGATGTTCTTACTCTTTCTCTGACAGCATTCAACTCCTTGTCTGGGCCAGGAGTGAATATCACTGGAAGCTGTGATTTTCTCATTTCAATTCTATGAGGCAATCCAGGGACAACGATAAGCGAATCGGAATCCGAGACAGTCTCATAGACCTTAGAAGTATGCAAATTGTGATTGCACAAGATATTAAAGCAATTAGTGCCATCAAATAAAATTCTTGGGATATTGAACTTGATTGAAATGTCAGCAACACATGCAATATTCTTATCACATACTATGCAGCTTGGAGAAGGACTCAACTTTTCAAGAACCTCTTCTATTGGCTTTTGCAGGATATCCAAAGCCCTGAAGAAGTTGATCTTGAGATCCATTGAAGGCAGTGTTTCAAGGTTCTCAGACCCCTCTGGTATTCCAGACTCTGCATTGGGGAATTTCACGAGTAAAAGCTCGATCGGCGAACCCGATTCGATCTCTCTTTTGATGCTGGCATTGAACTGGATGGAGTTGAGGGGTGTTGTGATTATGGTAACCTTCACATTACGCTTTGCTAACAACTTTGCCATATCTACCATTGGAAGAATATGGCCTGGTGCCAAGAAGGGTATGAATACAAAGTGGAGATTGCTTAAGAGTGTTGAATCCATTGCAAGTTTCTACGTTATACAGAAAACTTAAGGCAAAAGATTCAAACTAAGGCTACTATGCTTTGTGCTTCAATTTTGCATATGATAGTTTTCCTTGAAAGGCTATATATATATATACAAGGAATTTTAGATTCTAGAAAACATTATTGTTATTTTTTAATCTAAAAGTGGGAACATATAAGGAGAATGACACTCTCTAGTAATGGAGAGGAAATTGATTATTTCCTTTGAATTTTAAGGCTAAAAATGTAATATAACTTTACATATAAAAAGACACTGCATATTGTTCTTATTTTGATATTCTACAACACTTCTCTCTCTAATAATGGAGATAAGTCTCACTCATATAAGGCTTTATGGGCAAACTTCAAATTGAGTGATAAGTTAAAAGAAGAGTAATCACTTTCATACTCATAAATTTTCATCTATACCAATTTGGTTGTTATAAAAATTCAAATTGATACTTAAATATCATCAATGTGATTTAAAATAGTCTTAATCATATATTATAAAAATATTAAAAATGACTAATTTGACATGCATTTGATATTTTTTAACCATTTTGAGCTTTACAATTTGACTGTTATACTTAATTATTATTGACTCTTCACACTAACAATACATAAATTTTACGATCAAAATTATATACATACAAATTTTTTTTGTTGATTAGGTAATTTAATTATATAATTAAAATTTCATTAAATGTTTTATAATTTTTTTTATAAGAAGCCTTTTTCCTTAAAAAATTTATAAGAAGCCTTTTTCCTTAAAAAAAATTAAATATAATTAATATCCTAATTATTTACTTGCCATCCCTATTATCCTATATACACTACGGCAAAATTGCAAAACAACAACACTTAAAGTTGACATTCAACATCACTTTTGACATGAACGCAGTGCAATGTATGGTTAGATTCAAAATCGCTTTAAAATAGCTGTAGAAAGTAGAAATTGTGGTACATTCAACAAGCAAGTCTCGTTGAATGTGTCAAATCTCCACTTTATACAACATCTATTTGTTATTAATTCTCGAAATAGTGTTGTTTGATATAATAATATTATTAATGCATCTCTTATTAACTTATACAATTGCTATATATTTATCAAACACATCTGACAATATAAAACACATATATATCAAGCACATTCAACAACTTAAAAGCACATTCAACAACACATATATAATCAATACCATTAACTATATATAGTCTATTATATATCACTCCAACAATATTAGGTATATTGCCTATTTTCTATATATACTATCTAACAACTAGTACATATATGCATGTCAAAATTTCAACACATATTCATACTATTCTAGAAGTGGCAAAACAAATTAACCTACTAACCTATAGAATATTTCAGACATAGTTAGCCAATTTTCCTAAGTTGTAGAATCTTATTATTTGTCAATACATTGAATTCAGATAAAGTCCTAAGTAGTACCATGTTTTTTTTGTCATTGCTAAATGATCTCGTTCATAAAGTACGTCATGTAATAGTCACAATCATTTGAGTTGTTTTCACCTGGGCACTACAATTAAAAACAAAATAAAAATAGTTTTTGAACATAGACAAATAACTTTATATAAAAATTGTATACTGCAATTGCTTGAAATTTGTGCAAATACATGAATCCATTTGAGGATGTTTGAAGTAGATTTACAAGGAATTTGTTATATGTAAATTTGCATGAGCCTAAAAAAGAGAAATTACATAGTTATATATTTTCATCTATACCAATTTGATCATAAATTTTCATCTATACCAATTTGATTCTTATAAAAAATCAAATTGATACTTAAATATCATCAATGTGACTTAAAATGGTCTTTATAAGATATAATAAAAATATTAAAAATGACTAATTTAACCTACATTTGATATTTTTGTAACCAATTTGAGCTTCATAATTTGTTAGGGACAAAATTGATACATGCAGAAAATTTGAGGAATCAAAATATATTTTACTCTTAAAAGAAATACTAAATATAAAATAGGGTGTTTTAAGACTTACTTTTTTGGTACATAGAAAAAGTAATA